TCTCTCTCTCTCTCTCTCTCTCTCTCTCTCTCTCTCTCTCTCTCTCTCTCTCTCCAGATGGAGCGAGGGTCGCCTCCTCCACAGGCATAGACATCCTGCTGCTGGATGATTTCAAGCTCGTCATCAATGACGCCACGCACCTCGTGCGGCCACCAAGGAGAGGTGAGAGCTGGCAAAGAAAAGGCTGAGCCTGTACTGTTTGCTCTGAGTCACTTCCTCACAGTTGGGGTCACTACCAATAAGGTGAAGAAATGGTTTTATTGACAGCAAGTGGAGGGTGTTAAAGCCTGTCTTTTTGCTTTTTTTTGTGTGTTTGCATTTGTGCGTGCTTCAGATCTGCTGCCCCACGAGGAGGCAGAAAGGCTGAATGACGTCAAGTTTCTGGTGCAGCAGCTCTACACCACCCTGCGCATAGAGGAGCACCAACTCGGCAAGGAACGTGAGCTGATTGGACGACTGGAGGACCTCAACTCTGAACTCCGCCCCTTAGAGAAGGTCTAACTTCCTTTGCCTCGACTGATATTTTGGTGGTTGGTTATAGTTCGTTGCTGCTCTTAGCTAGACCCACAAATCATTGCAAGGGTTTTAACAAGCCAATAAATTGAACAGTAAAATGGAAGCCAAGGGGAGCTGTAGCTGCTCAGAATTTTGATGTTTTTAATCCTCTTATCTGGAGATATTTTTTTTTTAAATTGTATCATCAGGCCTTGTTTCGTCTCAGCCATCAAGGATTACTGATTAAAGATGGTCTGATCAGTTAAGCCGTCTTAATTATGGGTTTGGGGCATTCAAGGGTCTGAAAAACGTAGCAGCTCTCGGCCTATATTCTTATTTTGTGCTAAAAATCAATAATGACCTTCATCCTCGCTACATTCTCAATACACATCCGCTTCTTTTGTTCTATTTAAACTGGCTGCTTCTTCTTCTTGACTTCCGGATGGGTAGGTGAAGGAGGAACTGAATAAGAAGGCAGAGCGGCGTACCACCTGGGTGCTGTGGGGCGGCATGGCGTACATGGCCACCCAGTTTGGCATCCTGGCCAGGCTCACCTGGTGGGAGTACTCCTGGGATATCATGGAGCCCGTCACATACTTTATCACTTATGGCACGGCCATGGGCATGTACGCCTACTTTGTTCTCACACGCCAGGTAAGACGCAACGAAACACAACAAGCATGCAAATACACATGCATAAATGAATGTTTGAAGTCAAGTTTGAGTGTAATAAGCATCTTCTGCTGCCGTTTGGGTTTGTGCTGAAATGATTAGTTGATCGGCAAAAATCTGAAAACAACAATTTAGATAGTCAATCAATCATTTAAGTCATTTATTAAAGCGAGCGCAAACTTTCTGTGGCTCAAGCTTCTCAAATATGAGGATTTGCTGCTTTTGCTTTTTGTATTATTTTAAATTGATTATCTTTTTTGCATTGTTGGACATTATGTATACCAAAGGATTAGCTGATTGATAGTAAAAGTTATCTTATTAAGCATAATAATAACCTTTCCTCTAGTGGGAGCACACTGTTTTAAGTGATTTTTTTTTTGTGCCAAAAAATGTGAAAGACCATTGGTTCTTTGAGGGAAATTGTCCTCTTCAATAACATTAAACTCGGGGAACAAGGCATTACAGTAATGAAATCCAATAGCGCTCCTGTCTTTGCTACACTCTGCATTCAATTCTAATATTTTTAGCTATTTAAAAGTTGAGTCTAGTCACAGGGTTCAGCATTCATAAATTACCACCAGCGTTTAGCTCCAAGGACGTGAGTCCATTTGATGTTGAATTTCTCACTGGTGTGATTTGACCCAATGAACAGAAAGCAGAATGCGGACGATATCTGATAAACATGTCTGTGTCTCTCTATAACCTGCAGGAGTATGTTTACCCCGACGCTAGAGACAGACAGTATCTGCTGTTCTTCCACAAGGGGGTGAAAAGGACACGCTTCGACATTGAGAAGTACAACAAGCTGAAGGATGATATCACTGAGGTACAGTCGCTTGGTGAAAACTGGATGTTTTGTGATGTAAAATAAGCACTGCAATCACACTGGGGATTGTCACATTTTACAGTTCAATACTTTGATTTGTAACGGCCGTACAAAGACCGACTTTCATACCGATCCCTGCACACTTTCTTCTCATATTTGAAACTCTACCCTGCCTCCCTCTCCTCGTGAACCCTCTCCAGGTGGAGTTGGATCTGAAGCGTCTTCGGGACCCGCTCCAGCTCCAGCTCCCGGTTCAGCAGCTCACAACCAGTAAAAATTGATGGGAAGAGTGACTCCCTCCTCTCTCAACTCCTGCAACCCCCCTTTCCCGCTTCCATCCAACACCCTTTTCCCTCCCCTTTTACCCCCAACTCTTTCCTAAGACTCTTCCCTCCCCCATTCCTCCCACACCCAATAATCCCATCCCTTTCTCGACTGTGGGAGTTAGTTTTTTCTCCTTTTTTCTTTTTTTTTTCTTTTTTCTTTTTACTTTCCTGACTGAAAACTCCAGTTGGAATTGCAATTGAAAACCGCTAAAAGACGAAGAAGGATGGCGAGAGTACCGGGAACTGAAAAACTCTCACAGCCGAAGGATGGTGAGTATAATGAAAAGGACAATGATGATGAGGAATTAAGCTGGGCTACTATGGATATGCCTCAAGTCTCCGGAGGGACAGCCTGCAGGGAACTTCAGGGGGAAAACAGGAATCATCACACCTCTAGACACTCCAGAGCAGAGGACATGCAGAGGGACAGTCACTGTTGAGTGTGTGTGTGTGTGTGTGTGTGTCTGTGTGTGTGTATGGGACTTTCAGGGTATACTGGGACACCGGCCCTGGCCACTCTGGCCTGCAGGTCGACACAGCAGTGTAGTCCTGCTTCCTCTAGCAGTAAAACTGTCAACACACACACCTACTTTTGGTTGGGACAGGCTCCAGAAAGAGTCTCTATCCCAAAGTTTACAAGAAAGTCCTGACTGCAGTCGCACCATCAGGGGGACTTTCGTCTACCTGTGGCTGAACCCTGCTGCCTCTCCCTCCCTGGGCCACGCCTTCACCAGGTGACGGACACATGTCCCTCCCAGTGTGACCTTTGTCAGGAGCCTGTCTCGACTCGCAGGATAGAGGCATGACGACGCCTCGCTTCCTCTTCCTGTTGACGTCCTGTAGCGGCCCGGTCTGCGCAAGTATGAGAGTACTACCGACAACAACATCACTGTGTGTTCTTTTATTCCAAAAAAAAAATATTTTGGCACTTTTTATTTTGAAAGCCATAGTATATTTGTTATGAGAAGAATATAAATATATATATATATGTATACAATCAAATAAACAGATGACCAGAGGCTAGTTTTTTTTCAGTGGGGGGAGGAGCTCTCTTTCAAGCATCCTTTCATCAATTAACATCCTCTGAAGATCTCTGCCATGGAGGACCCCCGCTAACAGTCCAGTGTGCGCACACGCAAAGAGCATTACAGCGAATGCATTCATACCTTGAACTAACTATTACATATCTTGTCAAACACACAATGTATTTCACAGTAACCACGTCCAGGTAGGACGTGAGGCTCCTGTGCATGGTCACTAAAGGGGGGGAAACAATGTTGAAGCCAATTCAGGGTGAAAATGGCTTTGATTGGAATTCATTTTGAACAATGCAGCATAATGTCATCTTCGACCTCTATGATCACCTCATGAATACAACGATTGCTGCGGAAAGTGCTTAACATAATGAAGGGTTTGAAATGTGCAGTGACCATGGTCTGAGACAAACCCACAGCCGTGTTATCGTTTACTATATCGATATACTGAGTGGCTTTAAAGAAGAGTCAATACAACAGGAGCAGCATTTGAGCAAATTGCCTGCAATGTCCCTTTTTTTTTTTTTTTTCCAAACATCATATATTTCCTCTTTGTCCAATGAAAAGTATTGTTCTTGGAGATGTAAAGTTCATGTTTTCAGTGACCTGGCCATGATCTTAACAGCATGCAATGTGCATTTCAACAATTTCTTTTACGATTCTTCCTCACGAAGCTTACAGACAAAATCACAGAAGACTCCATCTTTTTTTTTTTTGAGTTTTCTCCTCCCACTGTTGCTGTAATGCCCCCCTGTTCCCTCGATGGCCAGGCAGGGTAGACTGCATGCTGTGGTATGCCCTTAGTAGAAATCTGTGAATGTGTAGGAGCATTATTGCAATTTTGTACTTAACTGGACACTTTTCTTTGCTACATCTATGACGTCTTATCTCCTTGATACGTTAAATGTAGAAGCCATATGTTTATGGTTTTTTTTTTTGGGATGGTCACTGAAAGAACATTTGTCAGCTTTACTTAGTTCTCTGTTCAGGTTCAGGACTGGAGCCCCTCTCTCCGGCCCCATTTATGTCTAAAAAAAAAAAAGCTCTGAAAGTAAGTTTGAACTGCTACTGCTGTAGATCACCTCTGCACAATCACATGACGCCGCTGAACACAGACTCTAGTTCAACATCCTGCTTGTGTGTGGAAAGTTGATGGAATCCCACTGAAGAGATCGATGTGTTTAACTGCAGATTTTCCATTACAGTGCATGATTTTTGGTCAAATCAAAGGTTAGCCAAGACAGGATTTGGTCGAATCTTTTACCGTGTGTCAGTGGGTTTGTGTGTGTGTGTGTGTGTGTGTGTGTTGTCTCCAAGGGAAATTGTGCCTTTTGATTGATTAATGATTTAAAAAGTATCAATACTGTAGCAAATTGGTAAACGGCAATGATGAGATCATTGAGAAAGTTAATCTCCTATTTGGAATGACACCCTTCGTATTGAGAAGGGTTCAAATTGAATGTTTGGAAGTGAGAATAAATCTTGCTGCGTGTCTGTGGACGTGTGTGATTGTCGAATCCACGTGTACACTGGGGACAAAGTTGAGATCGCTATATTCATGAATCCTTTTCCCTCATTTACTGACTGTCAATAGTGGTAGAAATCAATTCCGCCCTCATCCCACTTCATAACAGTCATGCGGTTTTTCCTGAACACACACACACACACACACACACACACACAATGTGGCGATGGTGTTTCCTTGGAGATGTACTGTGGCAGGTGAGAGATCCTCCCCTCTGCTGTTTCTACACACCACTTCTCTCCATCATCACCTCCTTTTTATCACGCCATCCACCGTTTATTGCCTTTGTTTTTGTCCTTTTTTTTTCTTGTTTACTTTTTAAAAATGAAATATATCAAATATAGGGAAACTTTATTATAAAGAGGGTGTTGCATGAATGTATGTCTACATGGGAAATTATGTGAAAATAACAAAAGATGATTTATCAAAAAAAACAAAAAAAACTGCAAAGATAATTTAAGAACGTTGTTTGTAGAGATTCCTAGTTATAAAGGGCAGTGGACAGGGCTGCGTCTTTAGAATCTGCCCTGCCAAATCTGACATAAATCCCAGCCAACCAACTGCTCAACCCCCCCCCATCAAACCCCACTCCCATCTTCACCTTCTTACTCCCATAAACCCCTCCGTCGGCGTGCATTTTTACTCCCCAATAATGGAAAAAAAACCTCCATCCTCGGTGCACTTATAAGGGAGTAGTTCTCTTGACCTCAGTTACTAACGTCCTGGATCTGAGTCCAAAGGAATAGTGTCAGGCGCACTCTGTCAGCTTATCGGGGAACACCTCCAATTGTCGCCCCTCTCTCCTGGCATTTTCATCCACTCTCAGCCTTTTTTCTCCAAAGCGACATTATTATTCTATTTTTTGAATGTGTGTTATGTTTTGAATATCTTGTTTGTGTGCACTTACAATAAGATGTTTAAAATGCCTAAAGAGTGAAGCAGAATATAGGATTGAAAATGATCTTGTACTCCAATCTGACCTCTTTTTTTTTTTATTTTGTTTTTCTTGTCCGTTTTTCTTCTGTTGACATGATGCTGTAATGTTGGCGAAAAAGAAAAATGTAAAATCCTGTATCATTTATGAAATATGTATAAAAGAGAAATGTAATTCAATTATCAATAAAATCCGTATCCAGGTTTTGGAGCCAGTGGTCCAGTTGAAGCTCCTGTTGTTCTCACTGGAAGTGAAGAGATTAATGGACATACTACAGAAATTTACAAGAAGCAACATTTCAAGGTCGGCCCACCTCCTCCTGCTCTCCTTGGCCTCCAGCTCTTCCTGTACAGGACATCCTATGAGATAGACCTGAGGGGAACTGTTTGTATACAATAGGTACATGAAGCATGGTTAGGAAATCTGAAAGTTTATTTAAAAACGAAATGGCAAAAGAAACATTTACATTTTGAAAAGTGTAATCATTGAACAGGGAGAAATCCTTTTTCTCCCATATGTACGAGTGTTCTACGCTAGCAGCACTAAACACAACGTACAGCTGGGGCTGATGGGAAGGTCATTTGTTTTGCAGGTATTTGTTATAAACCAAAATGTAAGACAGATTTTAACCTGATGAAAAGTCAGGGGATCATCAAGGTGGTCAAATTCATCCTACGGGCTGTATGAATGTCTACCTAATTTGATGATAAACTTTTCACCTTTCAATGAAAGCCCAAACGGTCAAACCCCAGGTGGTGCAAGAGGAAAAGTACAGGGAACACCAAAGTTACTAGGCTTAAACCCCTTGGGACCATGAAACTTATGCAAAATGTGGACAAAATCCATCCAGTGTTTAAGATATTTCGGTACAGTCCAATCTGTCTTCGACCATCACATTGATTTGCCATCCATATGCCTCGCCTCTAGCATGGCTGAAAAAAACCCCAACAACTTTTAACCCAATACTGCAACACACTTCAGACCAGTGAAAGCACTAAAACAAACCTAAACACTGTCAATATAATTGGAAGGTTTACTGGCTAACGGTGTCTCATTTCCAGGAGTAATCGCAGAAGAAGAATGGCATGTTCCACCTCATTTCTTCCACCAGCCTGGTGCATTAATGTCTCTCTTGATTTAATTACATTACGAGAAACAAAAACTGCAAACATCAGGTTAGTTTGGGTGCTTTCTTAATGAAAAGGGCCAAGCTTTATACGTTCTCTGGCAAATAACAGGGGCCAAGTTATTAGCTAGATCGCTCTGCTGTCAGACACTCTGCCTCAGCGTTGCCTTGAAGTGAAAGTTGCGTCAGCACGACACTAAGCCGATTAATCAGATTGGTTTAATGCTGCTGTAGATTAGGTCATCGCTCAGTGTTCTACGGCCTTTAAATGAGCAGAACATACATTAAGACATGTAAAAAGGCCACAATCACACTTTTTCACAGCAATGACGGCAAGAAAAAGAAATATATTATGTTTGTTGTAGTTTAAGGTCATGTGTGCGAGGATTGAGGGAGGAGAGTGTGCAGACCGCACCGTCTGAAACAATGGGAGGATGATCCTGTCACTGGATGTTGGGAGCAAGGGGTCAAGGTGAGACAGACAGACATGACAAAATGACACATGCCGATAAGAGGCGCCTATTAAAGACAGGCTGAACAAGAAGAGACACATGCACAACTCAGGCCTGAGCTCGGACTGTCATTTAGCCAACACAGAGAAAACGTATCATGATTGTTTGGGTGGTTACAAGTCTGCTGCTGGAGGGTGTTGCAGTTTCAGGTGTAGGTGAGTACAACATTTGTTATGTTTTCACTTTCAAAAAAGCAGGTATTTCCTTTATTAAGATTATATTTGAATTATTCTACAGCAATAACAGCAGTTGCAGTGGTCTTTCCTTTAGATTAAAGAAACGTTGACATTGTTCTATATATTTGTTATTGTCCACAAAACCCTTTGAAAAGACCAGAACAAACAGTGAATCCAGTACTTTTGGACTTCCCTCAACAGCCCCAAGCCTATTTATTTCATTTATTTAAGCTTAATAAGTTCCTACAGCAGCTGAACATTAAAGCTTTCAGCAAATGTTTCTAAATTTAGATAAATAACGCATTCCGCATGGACTATTTTCAGCAGCGGATTCACACACATTTGGTGCTCAAGCGAGTATCTGTCAGCAGCAGGTTGGTGAACATGGAATTTTGAATGAACACAGATGTTGTCCAATGCACCTGTGTGGCTCATTAATGTGTTTTAATGGCTTTTGGACGATACTCTGTGTCTACAGCGCTGAGGGTTTACAGGTGTTCAATCAATTCATGGTTGGTTTTGATCGTTTCACGTGATTTTTTTCAACCAGCTTTAACCTTTAACAAAAACACATTCATTATAGAGAACAATTAGGTTGGACGTATGTATACTCTGAGTCTTCATCTTCATCTGTGCAAATAAGAGGCTGGAGTCTGACTCGGGTCAGGCTTGGCTCCACAATCCTTTAATAGCCATAGTAAGTTATTCAAGCCCCATCTGGAAGATTTAATGTCTACATTAGCATTCACCCGCATGAGTCAGCTTTGTCCTCTGCCCCTTCTGTGCTGCTCGAGCTTGAATAATGTTGGTCAGTCGTACGTCTCCAAAACTGGTCGTTTATGCTGTCAGTGGGCCCAGCCCGCGAATTTATCCTTCTGCTTTTATTGGAGCAGCAGGTAGTGACAAGATGGACTGTCCATTAGAGGATGAAGGGTGAAAATCATGTCTGTGATGTCATTTATGGTCACAAAATGAGTTCCATCTCACTCGAATATTTCTTGACAGTTTACAGGAACTAAGATGTCAGTCAGTTTATTTTTTCTCAACATGGTTTGGGATATGTATTTGTGTGTGTTGGTGTTTACTTGTGAAAGCGGGTATGAGGAAAGGAACAGTTGCTGTGAACTTCTGGTCAACCTTGGCCTCCATTTGATGTCGAAAGCACTTTTCGCACAAGGTACGGGAAAGTGTAAACAGATTTTTTATGTTGCGCAATCCAACTTAATGAAAAGCCTGGAGTTTGGCTTTAGTGGAGGTCACTGCTCCAGTAAAGAGTTATGAATGGTTCGTCAGCTGTCACGTTTCCTGGCCTATCCCTGAAGATGCGTTACTGCCGGGCTTATCAGCCTCCCGCTGTTTCCTCATCCCCGCTGCTTCTCAGTGAATAACACTTACTCTCACCCTTGCCCACTTTGCCGGCTCCCATCAACGCTCACTTCTACTTCTTTTCCTTTTGTTTTATGTCTGCCTTCTAATTACACTGTTGAGGGGGCACGAAGAGAGGGAGAGACTATTGATGTTTTTGCTGCACTTTGTTTACTCTGCTCATTCAGTTGTTCTCCTGATTCTGCAATGCTTGCAGTAGTGAAAATAGTCACCACTGAGAGGACTGGATAAAGAGTTCTTTGTATGTGGTTTATTGGCTTTTAGTTCAATTAGTGTTAAAGTTTATCACAAAGGTCCAAAGGTTTGCTTCATTGCAACAACTTTGCTCAAGTGAACAGTTTAGACATGGGTTGTACTGGTTTTCTCTGGACTGAGCAGAACATCTAACTCTTTTAAAGGATCACTTCACCAAAACTAGAAAAAGAAGATAATCTCACATCTAGCCATGCAGGTAGTTTGGGTTTCTGAGATTTCTGTTTTTAATTGGAATTACTTCCTACTGAAAGCTGTTGGCAGCATTGTGTGCCTTTCGTAAAGAGTTGACCCTAGAGGAAATGAGGGGAGAGAGATATGGGGGAGGACTTGCGTCAAAGGTGTTGTTAGCAACTTAAACCCATGTTTAAAGGGGTGCCCCTGTTTTGAATGTCTATTTTTTATTTTTTTTTACTCTTGTAAGCACCAGAAACAAAATTAATTTTAACTCCATTAAATTGATGTGTAGTTCAGAAATCTAGAATAAAGGGAGCTAATATGTTTTCTTTTCATAATTTAGGGGAGCTGGTTCTTTTAGCAGTGATGGAAGACGTATTTAAAGCGATCAGCAAAAGTAGCAATACCACAGTATACAATATTCTTATAGAATAGTAATATAGATACAGTATCAAAAGTCAAAACAGTAGTACTGTATATATTTAACACAGTGTACACATAGGTATATTACCAGATATAGCTAATATGTTAGCACTGTTTTTAACAACTCCATACTGTTGGGTAATTTAATCCAACACATATCAAGGTGTCATACTTTGTAAACCTAGCTTTGCTTTTCATGTATAGTCTTAAACTGAGCTTAAAGATTTATGTAGCAAAGTAAAAACTTTGATAAGAAATCTAGTGGACTAAAAATACTAAGTACAAAGTAGCTCAAAATTAAAAAAAACTCAAGTACTGTACTTACTTTAGTACTTAGTACTCACTTGAGTAGTTACTTCCCACCTTTCAGACTCCATACATTGTCCAACCAACCTCTCTAGCTCACCCTGCTTATCTTAAACACATATCATGTTCCTACTTTTTTCCAAAGCATGTGTAACCAAATCTTGTTCGTCTTTGCCGCCTCAGCCCTGGACCCATGCTCTGCATACATCAGCCTGAATGAACCTTGGAGGAACACAGACTACCACGTCAACCAGTCATCCGGCGTGCCCCATTGTGACAACCACGTGTCTGGAGAATGGTACCGCTTCACGGGCATGGCCGGGGATGCCATGCCCACCTTCTGCGTCTCTGAGGACCACTGTGGCACGCATGCTCCCATCTGGCTCAACGGCAGCCACCCTCAACCCCACGAAGGCATCGTCACGCTGCCTGTGTGTGCCAGCTTCAATGACAACTGCTGCCAGTGGAACGCCAGTATCGATGTGAAGGCCTGTACTGGTGGATATTTTGTCTATCGCCTGCCCAGACCCTCAGTCTGCTTCCACGTGTACTGTGGCCGTGAGTGTTCGTGTGCGATATGTAAAAAGTCAATTTTTTACTTTCCTTTTCTTGTCTATTGTTGTGTTATTATGTTTTTGTGTGTGTGTTATGTAGATTTCTACGACATCTGTGATGAGGTGGACTGCGCAGGTCCCAGATGTCCCGAGTCTGACTGTCGCTGTGCACCTGGAACTGTCCTGGGACCAGACAGACAAACATGCCTGGGTGAGACGGACAGAGAGGGAGGAAGAGAGAGGACAGATAAGTTGTGTAACAGAAGTGGAAGACAGATAGGCTGGAAATGGTTTCTGAAAGACAATAACAAGAGAAATCAATCCGCCTGGCTATACAGTATCTTCACCCATTGTTTTGACAAACATTCATAAATATGGATAGGCTGTTTCTTGGCTATTCCTCTTTACATGCACATGATATTCACGATATGAGGCATTCCCCCGTGTGTGTGTGTGTGTGTGTGTGTGTGTGTGTGTGTGTGTGTGTGTG